TATTAAAAATAACTAATTCTCCTGCCATGTTTAAACATTTAGTTTCATTAACATTTTTAGTAGTTTAATTAATTAATGATTGCAATATGTAATCTCAATTAAAATATTTAGAGGATGATCAACTTTAGTGCTTAATTAAATATAATGCTGTGTGTTTAATGTGTTCAGTGAACTGTATCAGTCTCTACAGTAGATCCCAGCTGCAGAACAAATTTCATTTTCTGTTCAGTCAGACTGAGGGAGGTTTTTGTACGAAGAGTTTTCACTGTGTGAACCACCACTGACTGTTAATGTAGTGAGCACTCTGACAGTAATAAACTCCTGCATCTTCAGCCTGGACTCCACTGATGGTCAGAGTGAAGTCTTTATTATTTCCTGCTCCACTTCCAGTGAATCTGGAGGAGATTCCTGAATATTTGGCGGATGTTCCATAAATTAAAGCTTTAGTAGCTTCTCTGGGTTTTTGTTGATACCAGGACAGGCAGGGAAGATTGGAGATACGGCAATCTGATGTTGAAAGTGCCTGACTGGCCTTACATTCAATAGTGACAGTCTGACCAAGCTGCACTGATTTGGCTGCTGACTGAGTCACAACAACATTTTGTCCATCAGACCCTGAGGAGAAAGAAAAAACATTGGACATGAGATGAGGAGGTGAAACTCAGCCACTCTCCAAATAATTTTCAAATGACAGAAAAAAATATCCTCACCCTGAGTTAAGCAGAGGAGAGTCCAGATGAGGATGCTGATCAAAGTCATATTTCCTGTGTCTTCAAAAGTCATAAAGAACAACAGTCAGTCCTCCATTGTTCAACTCTCAGAACTATAAACTCTTCCAGAGCGCTGGAGGATGGAGCTGCTGATGCAAAGTGGCTCTAAGGAAATGGTACTGAACTTCCTGGAACCTTTTTATCCATTTAGGATTTTTCTTTTTTCCTTTTTTTTTTTTTTTTTTTTTTTTAGCAATCTAGCAAACTCTACTCCAGGGTTGTAATTATATTTCATGATACTGTATGTCCCAAGCTTCTCAGAGTGACCCAGTGGAAAGGTTTCCTTTACAACAACAGTCAAATCAGAACCTTGGCATTTTCAGAATGTTAATAGTACCTCCAGTAATAACAGATGTTAGTGAAATTTAAATATTACTTTTAACCTAAATATGGCACAAGTATGAATAAATCTGGCCTCACTATCACTATTTCAATTTTTTATGTGTGTCTTCTAATAAATGTGTGTACAAAGATGAAATAAATGTTCTAATCACAGTCAACTTAAAATGTTGATGATTCTTACATAAAATATGATTACATAAATATAAAAAAAAATCCCATCATGATGCAAGTTTGTGTTCTCTTTAAAGTCCTTTGTTTCTACTCAGTTTGTGTTCAGCTCACAAGTTACTGTAACAAGACATTTTTTTAATAAGGTTTAGTGTCAGACTGGTAAAAATGTTGCAATAAAGTTTTATTCAACCAAACTAAGCAATAAACTAAATTTATTTTTTCTTGATTAAGGATTCAGAAAAATTATTTGAAGAATTTAAGCTTTATCATATACTATGATTTATTTCATGAGTCTGAGCAAAAATCTATTTTTACATTTTATCATGCTTTTAGTGCATTAAAACAAAAAAACAAAGAAACAAACAAGACAAAATACCCGATTGTTATTTAAACTGTGTTTCTTTGGTCAATTATCTTGTTAATTATACTACCCAAAATGTTTTAATAGAAAAAAAGAAGGAAGCTGGCATCTGGGCTCTGTGGGGCCACCAAATGTGAAACTTTCATCTTTAGCCCTGAAACTTATCTGTCGGCATGGTTCATTAATGATGCGTGTCTGTTTCCAGGACCAAATCTTTCTAAGAGAGAAGTGAAACTGCAGTTTTAAACCAGCACCCTTCCATGCAAGCAGTAAGACTTTTATCAGAAATTGCAGGCTGTTACAAACAAATATATTTATTTATGACATTGATATATATTAACAAGTTGAACCTTAAAGTTTAACAGTAAAGTATCTGTGTGTGTTAAAAATGTTATTCTTAATATTTCAAAATATTAAGATAAGAAAACATTTCAGCTGTCTATATATATATAACCAACTGCTTTTGAATTGTTTTCATTATTGTTTCCAATCAGTGACTTATATGGATCTAATTTTAACTGTTCCTCAATATTTATTTGAGGAAGAAACTTTTTATTGTGTTATTCATCAGAAGCATTCAGAAACAAAAGGAATTATTTATCTCTTAAATCAGTAAAGAGCGTGGAAGAGTTTGCTCTGGGGGATATTTCTGTAGTGCTAACCCTGTAGAGAGGGTCCCTACTTTTCTCATGTGGTGCCCCCTTGTGGTTCCTAACCCTGAAGGAAAGCTGTGTGTGTTTACAGTGGGCATTTAATGACAGTGCTATGAAATGTGATAAAACTTTTTTTAAATTCTTTTTATGCGTTTACTTTGCCCCTACTCAGCAATGGGATATGGTACCAACCAGTCCAAGTGTTTTCAGTTCAAACTATGTTGTTTGAGGCTCTCTTGGATGTTCCTCATCAATGAAGGTTTATCATCAGTCTTGTTTCAGCTAAACCTAATCCCTAAAAATAAATAAATAAATAAAAAATATAAAAAAAGAAAATGCAATATCAGAAGCCTGCATATCCAACCTCTACTGTTTTTACCAAATTTGACAGTAGATGTATAATGTTTCTTCTTTAACAGACATGTTTAACAGACCATAGGTCAGATTCCTGTTTTTCATGTGTAAGACTTAAACTGTGCAACAATATAAAAAAATTTTCTGGTATTATAATGTGAATTGGACCACTAGATCGTATAACATACCTAATATCAGTGGTCTTGATTCTTGATATCTCAAATTAAAAATTTTGACCTGTAACAATTGGATTACAAAGATCTGAAATGCAGTTTTAGACATCCAGAATGTTTATTTCAGATATGAATAATTTCATTTTGGCTATCTGAAAGTAACGGCCCAATAAACATGAATGGGGTATAGTGATGTCATTTGTTCTAGTAAGAATTAAATTCAGATATCTGAAATGTTAATTTTTTTATAGAAGGAATATATTTAAAGATATCTGAAATACGAACACATATATGTTAAAACAGCCACTTAAAATAAGTAAAAAATTGTAGATATCTAAAATGTAGGTCTTACTAGTAAAAATGTGATTCCAGAGTACTTCAGATTTAATTTCTACTGGTAGAAATGTAATTAGTGATATCTAAAATACAATTCTGACTAGGAGTATTGTAATTGTGACTACGTAGAATGCTTTAGTGCTATCTATGATAGAAATGTGACTAGTCAGCCTGCCTATTTTATGTTAAAACAGAGCCTCATTACTCTTTTGAAAGTATGTAAAACTACATTTTAGATAGGC